GAGTGACAGAGGGAAGGGCCTTGGAGAAAGAGGCAGGGCTGGGGTGAGGCCTAGAGGAAAGAGGTGTGTCCTCAGGAGGAAGGGAAGGTTCTAGTACTCTTACTGAGTGTCCTGTGTTGCAATATGACCAAATTGGCAGCACTAAATAAATGCCTCCCTTAGATAATGCAGATTAGGGATGTTAAATAGTGGCTAATTGAATAGTCGAGTAACCTCATGAATTTTTATTGGTTAGTCGGCTATTCTGTAATTTCTGGAGGCGGGGCCGGCAGCAGCTAGTCCGTGAGGGAAGCCAGTTTAAAACCCTGCTCCTCTTGTGGACCAGCTGCTTGTTGCCCTGTGCTGCTGCCCCCCTAATGCAGATAAGGTTTGGGAAGTAAAAAAGCCTCCTGCTCAGCACAGGTCTTATTGCTACCAGACCCTTGCAGGGCCTGGAGAGGGGAAAAAGGGGGTTCCAGCTGCCCTAAGCTTCTGCTTCTTCATAGCCCTGTGTGGGTGTCCACAGAAACACAATCCCCTTGCTAGGGTCAAACTGTGCACCAGCACAGTTACTGTGAAAGTTACTGCTGAATACTTTCTTGAAGGGGCTGGGGAAGAGCATGCATGTGATCTCCCCTCAATGCTGTGCATCCAAAAGTTGTTATTGAAAACTCACCATAGAGCGTCTATCAGACACACCATGCTTTCCAATTCACATTGGAAACAAAACTCAGTAAATGGGATTCAACATTCTTCCTCGCCAGCTTCAAGTTGTGAGTTATCATGCAGCCGTGTTCAGTGTGATTTTTAAGTTCACTGTGACCTTCTAATAAAGTGCCTGGTCTTAATGTCTGGCTCTGGATTCAATCTAGTGTAAAACAGCTTTTGTCTGCTAAGGCCTAGAAAGCTGCAGATCATGCATCAGGTGCAACTCACCAAATGAGAAGAAAGGTATTCCTCTCAACCTTAAATAGATCTTGTCAAGCCGCATAGGTTCCAAGGGAAAAAAAATCAATATGTTCCACAGCCTGGAGCAGTAAAGCTGCCTGTGAAGCAAACAACTCATGCAGTTTAACTCCCTGCCTTCTGTGATGCAGGGCTCCTAATTTTGGGTTCTTTAATCCACCTCTTCCTAGCTGTGCAGTGAGCAGAATATCATAAAGCTCTAAGGCTAGGTCTAGACTGCAGGCTTCTTTCAGAAGAAGCTTTTCCGGAAGAGATCTTCTGGAAGAACTTCCTTTGAAAGAGATCGTCCACGCAGCAAAAGCACAACAAAAAAAGCGATCTGTTTTTTCGAAAGATAGCGTCCACTATCTCGCATTTCAGTTGTGATTACTGTAGATGGAGTGGCCACCAGGGCACCTGTGCTTTTTCCTGGCTGCCTCTTCTTTCGAAAAAACACTCTCTTCTGCGTCCATACATGCTTTTTTCCAAAAAAGCTTTTTCAGAAAAAGGCTTCTTCCTCGTTGAAAGAGGTTTACTGCTGTCGGAAAAACTCCTCCATACTTTCGACTTTCTGTCAAAAGAATGCAATAGCAGTGTGGACATAAGTATAGTTTTTCTGGAAAAACTCTGCAGTGTAGACATACCCAGAGAGGGGAATGTACTTCCAAGACTAGCCTGCAGAAGAGAGCTGTCAATCAAGGGTGATCCTGAATATCCTCAAGATGCAGCACCTTTAAACCTTTTCCCCAACTGAATGGTGTTCATTCAGCTGTGGAAGAGCCAGTACCTACAGTAAGGCATTGAAGATTGCCTGAGGCCTAGTCTGCACTATGCCAGGCAGGTGAGTTTAAGGTATGCAAATCCAGCTATGCATTTTGCATAGCTGGAATCGGCTTACCATAAGCTGAGCTGTGGTGGCATCCACGCAGCCAGAGGCCGGTATACTACCATCAGCTTCCTTTACTCCTCGCAGAATGAGGTGTGCCAGATGCTGGTGGGAGCTGCCCTCACCGTTTGATTTAAGGGTCTACTTTAGACCAGCTAAATCAAACCGTAGAAGATCAACCTCCAGCGGGTTGATCTTTTCACGCGTGTAGACACGTCCTGAGTGTATGAAGTGGAGCCCCTCAATATTATTTCTCTTTCCACAGCCAAGGGGCAATCTGAAATGTCTAATCAAGTTGGCATTCCACAGCCGCAAGAGAGGGGAGATTTGCCCTTTAGAATAAGGAGTAGTCAACTCAACCGCTGAGCTTTTATGAGTCAGCAGCCAACTGATTTTATGCTGGATTAAACCTTTGCTTGATGTGGTTGGCATGGAAGTGGTGAGGGACAAGGGTTACTTTCCATAGCTAATTTCAAATTATTTCAGCTGGGTATGTCAGATAAAATATTCAGTGACTGGCAGGATGCTAGAATTTGGTTTAATTTCAGATTTATTAACTGCCAACACATGCCATTCAATCAGATAAACACGGGGTTTGAGCTGTCATCACAGCATTTTTATGCCTACTTAAAAACAGGACACTTTTTCACACTCGGAGGAGAAATGGAACAGGTTTATAAATAGAGTATGTACAGTGAGGACACTGGAAAAGTTCCACCAGTTTGAAAGATGCTACCATTTCCAATGAGATTCCTTATCTTTAGAGCATTACATTAGAAGTGCTAGAATCCTTCAAGCTCATTGAGCATTTTAAGGGCGTCAACTGTGTACAAAGAAAAAGAGCATATTATAAAGCCAAATTAAAATACTGTGAATGTAGATTGTGTAACCGCCATCGAAAGAAAAGCCGCGTTCTTTCGAAATTATTTCGAAAGAACGCGGCTTGAGTCTGGACGCAGGGGAAGTTTTTTCAGGAAAAGGCTACTTTTCCCGAAAAAACCCCTGAGTCTGGACACAGCCTAGGAGAAACGGATGTTACAAGTCAAGTCATTCTCTGGTATCATCCAGTTTATTTACAAGAAATGTGCATCAAGTCCTGTTTCTCTGAATACAATAGAAACAAACAGTGGCAGGCAAACTCTGTGCTCAAGAAGCTCTGAGATTCTGCTTCCTGTCAGAGTCCCACTCGCAGGTTTCTCCAGGCTTTCTGCTGGTTTTTGCCTATGGATGTTAAATTTTGATTAATCAGCTAATTGAGTAGTCGATGGAATTTCCAATCGACTACTTGATTAGTCAATAAGGAGGAGAAGCGCAGCAGGGAACCTGATGCAAGCACAGACTGCTTCAATCTCCTCCCTCACCAGATCTCAACTGCTGCGCCTCTGCCTTTTAAATGTAGTAAGAGCCGCAGTGGGGAACCCGGCACAAGTGGAGACTGCTTCAGTCTCAGCTCACACTGGGTTTCCCGCTGTGCCTCTGCCTTCCCTGTTCCCCACCCCTCACCGCCAGTGCTGGGAGCAACTGGTTTTTAAGCTGGCTCCCCCAAAGACTGGCTCCTGCTCTCCCCCTACCCCCCCACCCTCTGTTACCTCTTTAACATTCCTATTTTTGCTTCTAACACTATCAGCCTACAAACCCTGTGCTCAGAGAAACACCTGAGCTCACCTACCTAGGTTAGTTGTGATTGAGTTTCCCCTTGCAACCAAGTGCCTTACTTGCTAGCCACACTTCTTTCCAGCTGTCTTGCTAATTAACCAGGCTTCACTGCTTCTTCCGCTGAGGCTGGGAGTGATTTTCACATTGACTTGAACAAGGTCTGTGGTGCTCTTTGATTCAAAGAATCACTCACTGGTAGTCATTACCCTGTCCAGCACAATGTTCTGGCAGCAGTTCTCTGGCAGTTTCACATAGCTCAGCATAGAGCTATGAAAGGGTGGGCATCTCTGTGCTGAGACAGAAGAGTTGTGTGTGAGTACTTAAGGACAGGATATGGCCCACCCGAGAAGCTGCTTCTTTGAATGGCCAAAATTTTCTAGGAGAGTTATTTGTTTGCTTGGTTTTGTAGTTCCTCTCCTCTCCCTTCCTTTCCTCCTTCCCCCCCTTCCTCATTTTAACAGTTCTTTATTGTTCCTGACTTGCACAATGGCTCTAGCTCCCCAGACTCATTCACCATCGGGGTAAGGCATTGTGTGCACTCATTAGGGGATCTACAAAGCTAGGGGGGAAGGGAGTTTTAAATAGTGGGGAAGTCTCTATAGTAGACTTGTCAGCACTTAGGCTGAATTCTCACTGCAGTGATCAGAGCCCCTTTCAGGCTAGCAACACTTGCTTTTGCCGAAATGCTGGCTGGCTGCAGGCTGTACATGTGTTGGGTACCTTATGCTTCTGCATGCCTCTCGTAGGTGGTCTTTCTGCTGCTGGGGCCCTGTGGTGACTGTTACAAATAGAAGCAAGAACTGAATCAAGCCTATTGCAATTTTTCAGCCTACTTTTTTGCTCTCTGTCTCTCTCTCGCTCCCTTTAAGGGAAACCTTTTCACATATAATGAGTTGCCAGGCAATTTATTTTTAAAAGGTGGCGGGTACTGCACACATTATGGGTTATGGTGCCATTTATATGCTTGGCCTCACTGACTATATGGCATATTAAATGTTTTATTTACCCTGTGTGCTGTTTGTTCTGTAAACAGCTTTTGTTTCTGTTGCATTTCGGGCTATATTATATAGAGAGTAAATAGTTTCATGTAAATTAAAACCACACGAAAGCTTTTGAAGCCATTCTGCAATGCCAAAGAGGCTTGCAGATATGTTTGTCAGGCAAAGACTGAATAACGAGCTCTTTGCTTACCCATTTATTCCATTGTACCCCTGCTAGCCACCCCTTATGCGACTCTTCCATCAAACACGGCATCTAAATACTCAGCTGGAATGCTAGTGCACATTTCTACCATGCTCGGAGGTGGTTTGCATAAACAGTAGGCATTTAACAAAGAACACAGGAGTGAACTGCTGTTAAAAATGGTGTTTTGTAAATTACGATGCTGCTCATACAGTAAACACAAAACACAATGTTTTTCCACTTACCTGCCAGACAGAATGTCAGTTTCAAACATTGCAATGCTGTTACTAAATATTATTTTTAACATTTATTATTACTCTTGTGTCACTGTAGATAATTTTGTTTGTTACAGATGGATCGTGTCATCTTCTGCGTCTTTTTGGAGGTTGACTACAAAATATTTAAGAAGAAAATGAGCGAGTATTTCCTCACAGGTATGTGCAGTCATTACTTACCTTCTGACTTTCATAAATTAGTCAGTACAAAGATTACAAGTTGGCATCTTGTTGCCATGCCATGACAAAAATTGACATGATCACTGATAAGATCAAGTGCAGATCAGGGCGCCAGGCCTGCAAACACCTATGCATGTGGATTACTTTTGAAATCCATGGCGTTACTCATGGTAGCAAAGATCAAAACATGCAAAAAAAATCCCTCCCCCCCCCAAAAAAAACCAAAACCCCTTTTGCAAGCTTCACTTTGTGCTATTGAGAACTAGCAGACTCACCCAGGGTGTGTCTAGACTACATGCCTCCTTCAACGGAGGCATGTAGATTAGCCAGATCGGAAGAGGGAAATGAAGCCGCGATTAAAATAATCGCGGCTTCATTTAAATTTAAATGGCTGCCCCGATCTGCCGATCAGCAAAAAAAACCAAAACCCCTTTTGCAAGCTTCACTTTGTGCTATTGAGAACTAGCAGACTCACCCAGGGTGTGTCTAGACTACATGCCTCCTTCAACGGAGGCATGTAGATTAGCCAGATCGGAAGAGGGAAATGAAGCCGCGATTAAAATAATCGCGGCTTCATTTAAATTTAAATGGCTGCCCCGATCTGCCGATCAGCTGTTTGTCGGCAGATCGGGGGAGTCTGGACGCGCCGCGTCGACAAAGAAGCCTTTCTTGATCAGCACAGGTATGCCTCGTGAAACCAG